AATTTAGCGTGATCCCACCTTCCCACTCCACAATTCTCACCTCGCCACACCCCTCCCCCCCAAAAGAAAAGCACTTCACTGCTTGGTAGACATCAGCTATTGTCCTTAGTAGGAGTGGAAGGGTATACTGTATGTCACTTTGATTAACCCTCTGGCCTGTGAACTACATAATTATTAGACTCTTTTTTTTTTTTTTTTTTGTCTTTTTCATTTTTTTATCGGTACCAGGGATCAAATTCACAACCGCACACTTGGAAGGAAGGCGCTTATGCCGCTGAGCTAAATCCCCAGCCCCATATTAGACTTTTTTTGTTTTTTTCTGGTACTGGAAGTGAACCCAGAGCCTTCACACTGAGCAACATCCCCCAGCCCTTTGATTTTGAGATAGGATCTTGCTAAATTGAGATTTCCTGCCTTAGCTTTCTGAGTACTGAGATTACAGGCATAAGCCACCAAATCTGGTTTAGCACACTGTTTTTTTAAAGTTGTAAAATATACATAGCACAAACCATCTTAACCTGTGTGTGTGTGTGTGTGTGTGTGTGTGTGTGTGTAATGGATTCAGACCCAGGCCTTGTACATGTTAGGCAAGCACTGTATGCCTGTGGTACACCCCATCTCTTAACCATTTTTTTTTTTTTTTTTTTGTCTTTTTCCTTTTCATCGGTACCAGGGATCGAACTCACAACTGCTTGCTTACAAGGCAGGCGCTTATGCCGCTGAGCTAAACCTCCAGCCCCCTCTTAACCATTTTTAAGTGTACAGTTTATTGTAAAGTACATTCAAGTTACGTAGATTCACACTGTCATGCAACCAATCTCCAGGACTTTTTAAAAAATTTTACAAAACTGAATCTCTATTTGTCAGCTCTCCATTTCCCTCTCCCCCTGGAAACCACCGTTCTGTCTCTCTGAGTTTGCATTTTTATGCTCCATTTTCTGTGTGATCTGCTATTGGAGACTGAACCTTGGACCTCACACACACTAACCACATGCTGGACTCCAGTGAGCTATACCCCTGGCACTTTTCTGTCACAGGGTCTAAATTTTGTCAGACTGGCCATTTGTGATCCTCTTGCCTTAGCCAGCTTCTTTATTATTATAGGCTCTCCCTATAAGCTGAGGGTCGCCAGAGAGAGTCTGAATTTGAACGCAAGCCCCAGTCATGCTCTGAGGCAATCTGAAATACGGCCTCACCTTGCAGAGCATCTGTGATGTGTTTTAACCTCTTCCATAGGGACAGGAGCCACCAAGTGCCAAGGCCTTATGTGCTGTTCTCACGTGTAATCCTCAGAAACCCTGCTGTCAGAGTGAGGGGTGGTGTCAGATTTCCCAGCTCAGTGTCTGGTAGAGTGTAAGTTTCAATAATTGGGCCTATTTGATATCTTTAAATAAGGGAAATGAAGGGGCTAGGGATTTAGCTCAGTGGCTTAAGTGCCTGCCTGATAAGCGCCAGGTCATGAGTTTGATCCCTGGCACCAAAAAAGAAAAAAGACAAAAAAAAAAAAAGGCAGATGATACTAAGTTTTGTTTTTAATGAATTTTTTTTTTTTCTGGCCGCAATGGGGATAAAACTCAGGGCCTCATGAGCACTCTATCCCTGAGCTACATCCCCAACCCTTTTATTTTTTATTATTTTTAAATTTTTGGCACAAGGTCTTGTCAAATTGCCCAGATTGCCTCAAATGTGTGATCCTCCTGTCTCAGCCTCCCAAGTAGCTGGGATTATATGCATGAGTCACTATGCCTGGTTCCACAGAGTTTTGGAAATACATGAGGCAAACTGCCCACTCCTCTGTGCCCCGCCCTCCTGCAGAGTCCATTTGTACTTTCCCCCTGACCAGAGCCTGGACTGCAGGGACACACTTTCCTCCAGCCATAACCAGCCCCAGACAGCCTGGGACATCATGCTCTAGCCTTTCCTGTCTCTGTGCCTTTCCACATGTTCTCTTTTTTCCTTCATCCTCTTCTTTTCCCTCCTACTCCTCTCTCTTTTCAGTACTAGGTATTGAGCTGCAGTCCCAATCCTTTAAAAAAAAATTGTTTTTCAATGTTGAGATTGTCCTTCTAAGCCTCTAAATTCCCCAGGCGTGGCTCAAACTTGTGATTCTCCTACCTCAGTCCCCCAGAGGGTTGAAATTATAGGTGTGTGCCCACGTGATTGACTACAATGCTGTTTTTTGGTTTTTGTACTGGGGATCGAACTTGCAACCTTGTGCTTGCCAGGCAGGCCCTAATGCCACTCAGCAAAATCCTCCGCGACAGTGCTGTTCTTGAAGACAGGAACTTTGCTTCCTACTTTCTCCACCCCTTAGGAAAGCACAGGGGCTGCAGCGACTGTGCAAGTTAGTGTGTCCCCTTGACTCCAGCTCCTTGTGCAGTGATGAGCTTTCATCACTCTTCCTGGGAGGAGTTAAGGGAAGTCCAAGCCGCTGTAAATTTTTAATGTTCCCTGTCTTTGAAAATAAAGACATGACAAACATTGGGGTAAAAGTTTTACAGTTTTAACAATCAATACTTCTGTTACTCAAAATTTACAACACTTGTGTCCTGCTTACAAGAGAACTGTGAGATTTATTAAAGTACAATCATTTACCATGTTGCACAGGCACAGTGGGTCTGGTTGTAGGACACGGGTTTAAAGATGTCAGGGGCTGGAGGTTTAGCTCAGCGGCATAAGCGCCTGCCTTGAAAGCGGGCAGTCGTGAGTTCGATCCCCGGTACCGATAAAAAGGAAAAAGACAAAAAAAAAAAAAAAAAAGATGTCAAAGGAGGGTGTTTAATCAAATCGGAGAGTGGATCTGACACAATGTAAACCCACATTTGGAGATGATCTTAGAGGTCTAACTTGGAGATCCTGGCCAAATGGCTCACTGGTCCCTTTCCCCAGTGACAGGCTGTACTGCCTTAGCACACAGTAGGCCCTCAGTCATTGCTGAATGACAAGAACAAAGATAGTTTTCTGAGTGGTTACTGAAAACCCACATAAAGTAAATATTCCTGAGAAACCTTGAAGCCCTGAACAATGAGGCAGGAAGCCACCTCCTCCTCCAGTGACCCCAACCCTTAGAATCCAGCTGAAAGCCGCAACAGGAAGCCCTTCAGCCACTGTCCTCCCCCCCCCCCCCGCCCCACCCCAGGACTCCAAATGCAATCAGGCTTTCCATCCGCTGGAGACCTGGCTGGCTTCTCCTCCACCCTCCAGAGGGTCCAGGTGAGGAAAGAAAAAGCACTTACTCACAGAAAGGGGCAAGCAGCCAAGCTGAGCTTGAAGAGCTGTCCTGCCCGAGGCAGTCTCAAGGAATAAAGGAAACAGGAGAGGACAAAGAAGGGCTTAAAGCCCTGGAGAAGGGGGTGAGGGGAAGGAAGAAGAGAGTTTACAAAGCAATCTGCCCACTGGGCTGAGGGACTCTGGCCATGGTATCACCTTAGATCCAGTTAGAAACCTGCAATTCTGCAGACAAAGTCTGCAGATTCCCTGCCCTCACCTTGTTCCTAGAGGCTAGTTACTGATCCCTGGAGTGGGAGGCCTCAAACTTATTGGTTTCTGACAGCTGTTGGGCAGCCCCCAAGAACCTCTGCTCAACAGTCTTCCAGAGCCCACCAAATTTGTCCAACTACCAGTTCTGTTTAAATGTCCAGCAGAAACACAGTGTGAGGTTAAGATCACCCCAAGATCTTCACAGTCATTGAGCCACTGAATATGTCCACAAGCCTTTCTGACAATCTCCTTTGTCTACAAAGGCAGGATTGGTAATAACAGCTATCACCTGAGCGCTCATCCAGTGTGCAGTGTTTTAAGTCATCTCACGTAATCCTCACAGCATCCGTAGGTGTAACTATTCCCATTCTACACAAAAGGAAATGGACTTGGAAGTGAGTCAATGGCTTTCTGAAGGATACACAGCCTGGGTTCTAACCCAAGTCTGCCTGACCTTGATGTTCACTTTTCCCACTAAGGACACTGCTTCTTGGGAACTCTTTAAGGATTCTAACTTAGGCTGAGGATTTAGCTCAGTGGCATAAGTGCTTGCCTGGTAAGTGTGAAGTCATGAGTTCAATTCCTGTTTAAAAAAAGAGGGGGATTCTAACTTAAGTGGTGCCTAAATCAATCTTAAATGTGGTAAGATATACAATTCTGTAGCATCTAGCCTCATTTTGGAAGTGGGGAGGGAAGTAGGAGTGGGAGGTGCTGTATTATGCTGGTTAGGGTCCCACCAGTTCTTTTTAGACACTTGAGTAATTTAAGCATAAATAACTGGGCACTGGGGACAGGACACTCACTAATAAAAGCGTGGCCTGGAATCATGTTTGATAAAAAGAAAATCCAAGGCCTTCAGTGGGTGGATGTATCTGCAAAACAAAAGAAAAGCCCCTTTCCCAGCCTAGACAGAGAAGTCTCCTGTACAGTTAGAGACAACAGGCTTCCGGGCACGTAGCCAAGGTTCTGGGGATATTTATAACTTGAAGAGGGTGGGAGTCCCTAATAAGCTGCTATATTCTTTTTCCATCACTTCCCTCTCCAAGACTACAGCGAGCTCGACGCTCTTCCCCCACGCAGAATGCCTGCTTTGCTTAGTGCTCCACTTCCATTGTCTAATTCCCTCATCCTGGCTGGGGAAAGGGGAGGCTGCAAGTCCTTCCGTTCCGCGGAACTCCAGATGAATACAGCTTAGCTGCTGGTGGTGTTTTTTGGCCAGCTACTGTGGGATCCGCCTCTGAGGCTGTGGTTTCTCCGTGCGGTCTGAGAGTCTAAAGTCTTTGGGATCAGCCTCTGATTTTTGGGCTCTGCTTGCAAGTCTACGGATTCGAGATACACCTGTGGGTCTGAAATCTCCAGGATCTTCCAGTGATCTCTAGAATCTCTCCGACTATCAGAGGCCTCAGAGAATTATTTGTGGCTTTGGGATCAGTTTGAGGCCTCGCGGATCTTGTAGCTGGTGCTCTAGTGGATCTTCCGCAGGTCAGGAGGTAAGTCTGTTTGTCCTCAATTCGGGTTTTTTGGCTTCCAACCTTCACAAATGACTGCTCACATCCTGAGGACTCTTCCAGCTCAGTCCCTTACAGGCCCTGGGTCTGTTCCGTGCCGGAGGCTTCCTGGAACCCTTTTGGCAGACAGGCCCTTGGGGATAACAAGGACTGCCATCCGTGGGGTCTGGCTATTTCCTTACACGCTCCACCCGCACGCTGATTTACTTCAAGGTTTCTTTCCTCCGAGGGGCGCAATTCAGTCCCCCTTTCAAGGGGAACTGTCTTTAGACGTGATCTGATACCCCTACAGGGTTAACAGCAACCAAGATCGGAGACCCGGCTCTGGCTGCGGACCACACTCACGCGCAGCACGGGTGGCGCGGCGCATGCTGGGGATTGTAGTCTGCCGGTAGAATACAACTGCCGCGGAAGCTCCTGGGAGCTGTAGTCCGTGCGCAGACTGCTATAGCCGGAGGAGTGGCTGGGAGATGCAGGGCGTGGGCGGAGCCCAAAGTTGAAGCGCGGCGGCATCTCACTCCCCGGGGGAGTGGGCGGCTGCCACTTTTCCCTTTGGCCTGGGCTGTCAAATAAGAGCTAATCTCAGCAAATCTCTGCGAAGGTCATCACCTAAATTAAGTCTGACATCACGGATTATAACAGCCGACTCAAGAGACGCTTTGTAGAAATATGAGGAAAACTAGGGCTACCTCCCTTGCTTAATCCGGCTGTGGTCTCCAAGGGAAAAAAAAGCGGGAGATTCTCCGCCTTGGCTTGGAGGACGTCCTTCTTTATTCGCCCTTTTGTTCTTTTCCCTCCTCACCCTGGCCTCTGACTGGCTTTTGTACGCGGGAGTGGAACTTCAACTCCCGGCAAGCCACCGGGCAGGCGCAGGCGTGGTAGGGGTGGCCGGACACGCTGGAGGAGGCGGGCGGAGTGTTCTGCGTCTGATTGATACAGTGTTGTGCGAGTTTAGCAAGCTGATTGGCTGACGCAGCTGCCGGAAAGGACTCAGCCTCGAGATGGAAGAGCAGAGGCGTTCTGTGGGCTGGGTTGAGAGCCTCCTCCCTGAGACAGCGTCGGGCTGACCCCCGGCCCTGGAGGGATCCAGCTTGGGAGCTGTCCTAGTCGATTCTGGCATTATCTCCTTTGCATGGTGCGGAGACCCAGAGGACCCGTCACATTTGGGGTCGGGGAATCAGCTGGGAGAGTGACCTGGCCCCACTGCAGGGCCCTCCCCGCCCGTCTTGCGGCCAGAACTCCTGCCCTGGGGAGTGGGCAGGGCCTGTTTCCCGTTCCTCACGCCCTGCTTTTCGACTCCTTCAGCGCTGCCTGCTAGCTGCTTTTCCTGCTGTGCCAGGAGCGAACTCTTGTGTCAGAGATGGCAGCCACCCTGCTCATGGCTGGGTCTCAGGTAAGCCGGGGGTGGCTTCTCGGACCTCGCCTCTGCTTATTCATCTCGTCCTGCGTTTCTCTATTGTGCATACCCCTGTGGGAAATTCCCCGGGATTAGTAATTGGCTTGCTTCGGTCTTCTGCCTCCAAGGCCCTAATGCCAGGCCAATATAGCCACAAGCAAGCATATGTTGAACACCTGCTGCATGCCTTTAAATGCTGAGGAGATAAAAGACAAGACAGGCGCTGCCCACCTGCTCACGATCTGTAAGGAGAAAGACTCCTGGTTAACCGTGATACCACGCGTTAAGTGCGCTATTTGCCGTAGCAACGAAGTGCTGTGATGTGGGGATCAAGAAATGGGAGTGATTAATTCTCTCTGGGGCATCCTAGGAGAGAGTGAGAGGAGCAGAGGGGTGGGGTCGCTGAAGAACACTTCGCGACCGTAGTAGAACCATAAAGCCTGAGAAAAGTAGCCCGAGAAAAGACAAACACTGTACGGATAGGTATGGAGTGATATAAATGTTAGATGTGTTGAGAAACAAGACTAGGATAGAGTATGAGCTTCCTAGTGGGGCAGGGTTAGCTAGTCATGGACCCAGAACAAAGCAAGCAGTCAGGTTTGCTGTTTTTGGTTTTTACATGTGCTCTTTTTCTTATTTCTTTTTTGGACTCTGCAGATGAGACTTAAAGCCTTTGCCTCCTCAACATTTCTAACCATGTCTGTAATTTCAAGAAGAAAGACTGGTACTAACCACCTAGCTACCGAGTAGTGAGGAAGCATTGTGTGATTTCAGGCACCTGTGACATTTGAAGATATGGCCATGTACCTCACCCGGGAAGAATGGAGACCTCTGGATCCCACACAGAGGGACCTTTACCGAGACGTTATGCAGGAGAATTATGGAAATGTTGTCTCATTAGGTAAGTAAGGATTCTACCTTTCTACACACACACACACACACACACACACACACCGCTTTTGAAACTGTGTCAAATGTTTTAGACTTTCAACACAGCCTAGTTGTTAGATTTTTAAAACACTTAATTGGGTACTGGCTTGAGTTCAATGCTCAGGCAAATCTTTGACTGTGAAAACATCTAGGTCATATGGTCTGAAAAGAAAAAAATGTTTCTGTGCATTTTAGAAACATTCAGATTTCTTGTGCCCTGAGTCATCTGCCATTCTCCAGCCTGTTGGTACAGATCACTGACCAAACTGGTCTGACATAATGGTGTTTGCCAGGATCTAAATGCCCCTGTAAATAACGCTTTCACTCTGGGGCACTAGAGAATGAGGGGGTCTGCCTTAGGTTCACAGGAGGACAGTAGTCATCCTCTTGTGTTTGTTTTGGCTGACCCTTTCTCTGAGGAGGTTCTTGTCTAGAGATGTTTCAAAGTTTGTCATTGATGGCAAGCATATCAAATGTTCCAGGAGAATCCTGAAATAGTGATATCATGAATTCTATTAGAGAGGCTGATATGCAAATTATCTTCTTTCCTAGCTGTCCTTTGGTCTGGGTGGTACTGGAATAAACAATTTACTCTTTTTTTTTTTTTTAAATCAGTACCGGGGATTGAACTCACAGCTGCCTACTTAGGTGCTTATGCCACTGAGCTAAATCCCCAGCCTCAACAATATACTCTTAAGATGACTCCCTTTATCTCCTGTTAGGACTTGACAAGAGTTAGTGTGTACAGCTATCTGTCATTCATTAGGACTAACCCATTTTCTGAAATCTTTATTCCCACAACTTTTCTCAGTACAAAAAAAGCAATTCAGGCTGGGGATTTAGCTCAGTGACATAAGTGCCAGCCTGGCAAGCATGAGGTCATGAGTTTGATCCCCAGTACCACCAAAAAAAAAAAAAGCAATTTGAAGGGTTTTCTTCTTAACTTGATCTCTCTCTGATGTCTCATGTTGCTTGATTTCTTTCTTTAAAAAAACAATCATAAAGCTGGGCATTAGGCCTGGGGATTTAGCTCAGTGGCATAAGCATCTGCCTAGCAAGCATGAGGTCATGAGTTCAACCCCCAGTACCCCCTCCCCCCCAAAAAAAAAAGCTGGGCATAGTAGTATATGCCTGCAATCCCAGCACTAATGGAGGTCAAGTCAGGACGATTACTATAAATTGGAATCTTGCCAGGGCAACTTAGGCTCTGTCTCAAACGAAAAATAATACTTTAAAAAGGTGGGCTCGTGATTTAGCTTAACAGCATATGTGCCTGCCTGGCAAGCGCAAGGTCATGAGTTCGATTCCTGGTACCAAAAAATAAAAATTAAGCTAAAGATAAAAAGGGAGCTACAGATGTAAGTCAGTGGTAGAGTGCACTTGTGTTTGATACCTAATACCACAAAAACAAACAAACATAAACAGGTGTGCTGTGCATGCCATTAATCCCAGTACTCAGGAGGGAGAGGCAGTAGGGTTCAATTAGAAGCTGGGCTAAGCTTCATTGTCTCAAAATTTAAAAGGGAGAGGGGAGGGAAAGAAACCATAATAATGTTTTCTTCCCAGGTCTATTGTAATCTATAACCCCAGTTTGTTACTCAATCCAATAAAAAAACAAGAAATGAGAATTTTTACTTTTTTGGTATAAATTTGAATTTCTCTGATCTAGCCAAAGGAGCATTTGTTAGAAGAATGAAGTACCAAAAACTGGTTTCTTGCCCATGTAATTTTGGTAGATAAATAATATTTACAAGGGTTCATTACCTTAGGACTTAGTACTTTTAATGTATTATCAGGCATTGTGGAATTTTCTTATACTGGGAATTGAACTCAGGTAACCTTACACTTGCCAGGCACGTGCTATGCCACCAAACTATATCCCTGGTCCCACTGTGGATTACTAATAAGAGGATATCATTTGTACACTTATCAAGGTAATTTATTTATGGCCCTTTCTCCCACTATATCTTAAAATTTTTTTAAAGTGTATAAAAAGACACTCAATTCGGAAAATGGAGTGTCTGGTAGAAAGTTGTAGATGTGATTCTATATTTGATTTTCATTTGGAAATTATGCAATAGTCAGTGTGAGAATAATCTGAGGCAGGGATAGGGTATCACTTAGTGGGACAGGGCCTGCCTAGCATATGTGAGATTTGAGTTTAATCCTTAAAACCACAAGCACACATACACACAGAAGATGTTCTGAAACAATATCCTTTTTGTCTTCTGCAACCTATGTTCACTGGAAAATAGCAAGTGACATCCAGCAGTCGCTGTTTTCCCCAGGAGTCTCTTTTTCTGTCAACTAAAATCTGAAACAGATAGCTAAAAATTTGTTCTTGTGCATATCAACATATTAGGTTCTTAGTAAATATTATATAATGGTAATAATGAAGGCTTGACAGGTTGAACAAAGTATATGTACAAACATAAAATATCTTAGGCACTTAGCTTTTAGGAGTTTTAGAGTTGCTCATATTGAATGTTCAAAACATCAGGAATAAAAAAAAAAAACATCAGGAATATATACTTTTTAAAAGTTTGTTCTATTTTTTTTTCCTTTTTAGCTTTTTATTTTATTTTTTTTTTTTTAACAAAATCTCACTATATAAATCAGGCTGAGGGCTGGGGATTTAGCTCAGTAGCTTAAGCACTTACCTGGTAAGTGCAAGCTATGAGTTCAATCCCTGAAAACAAAAAAACAAAAGACCAATAATTCAGGCTGGCCTTGAATTTGAAATCCTTCTGCCTTAGCCCCCTGAATGCTGAGATTACAGGCCTATACAATATTTTTAAAGTGCCATTAACTATAGTAATACAAAGCATGAATATTTTTCAGACAGACCTTGGTCTGAGACCTGTCTCTAGCATTTATTTACTGCTATGACCTGGGCAAGTCATTTCACTTGTCGAGGGTATGGATTTTTAATTTATAAAATAAAGGTTATCATAATGCCTGACTCTCAGGATGGCTGCAACTGTGAATGAAATAATTCATGTAAAGAGCTTAATACATGACTAGGTATGCAACTGAGTGGTAGAGTGTTTGACTACATATGTAAAACTGTGGGTTCAATCGAAGCACCAAAATGAAACAGGATGAAAACCTCAGTGTAGGGGCTGGGGATTTAGCTCAGCGGCATAAGCGCCTGCCTTGCAAGCAGGCAGTCATGAGTTCAATCCCTGGTACCGATAAAAAGGAAAAAGACAAAAAAAAAAAAAAGAAAACCTCAGTGTAGTGCCTGGCACATGCTAGGTAATTTATCTGTATATTCACCAGTATTGTTATTATTTACCCTTTTTATAGATTTCGAAATCAGGAGTGAGAATGAAGTGAATTCAAAGCAAGAGATTAGTGAAGATGTAAAATTTGGGACCACATCTGAAACACCTAGTGGGAATGTTGAAGAAAATCCTGACAGTGAAGAGACCTTTGAAAGTGGAGACCAGTCAGAAAGACAGTGGGGAGATCTGACTGCAGAAGAGTGGGTAAGCTATCCTCTCCAACAAGTTACTGATCTTCTCGTCCACAAAGAAGCCCACACGGGCATTCGATATCACATATGCTCTCACTGTGGGAAGGCCTTCAGTCAGATCTCAGACCTCAACAGACACCAGAAAACCCATACGGGAGATAGACCCTATAAATGCTATGAATGTGGAAAGGGCTTCAGTCGTAGCTCTCACCTCATTCAGCACCAGAGAACACACACCGGGGAGAGGCCATATGACTGCAACGAGTGTGGGAAAAGTTTTGGAAGAAGCTCCCACCTCATCCAGCACCAGACAATCCACACTGGCGAGAAGCCCCACAAATGTAATGAGTGTGGGAAAAGTTTCTGCCGGCTCTCTCACCTAATTCAGCACCAACGGACCCACAGTGGAGAGAAACCATATGAGTGTGATGAGTGTGGGAAAAGCTTCAGCCGGAGCTCTCACCTAGCTCAGCACCAGCGAACACACACAGGTGAGAAGCCTTATGAGTGTAATGAATGTGGCCGAGGCTTCAGTGAGAGGTCTGATCTTATCAAACACTACCGAGTGCATACAGGTGAGAGACCCTACAAGTGTGATGAGTGTGGGAAGAATTTCAGTCAGAACTCTGACCTCGTGCGGCACCGCAGAGCCCATACGGGAGAAAAGCCTTACCACTGTAACGAGTGTGGGGAGAACTTCAGCCGCATCTCACACTTGGTTCAGCATCAGAGGACCCACACTGGAGAGAAGCCATATGAATGCAATGCTTGTGGGAAAAGCTTCAGCCGAAGCTCTCATCTCATCACACACCAGAAAATTCACACTGGGGAGAAGCCCTACGAGTGTAACGAGTGTTGGCGAAGCTTTGGCGAAAGGTCAGATCTAATTAAGCACCAGAGAACCCACACAGGAGAGAAACCCTATGAGTGTGTGCAGTGTGGAAAAGGGTTTACCCAGAGCTCCAACCTCATCACACACCAAAGGGTCCACACAGGAGAGAAGCCTTATGAATGTACCGAGTGCGAGAAGAGTTTCAGCCGGAGCTCAGCCCTCATTAAACATAAGAGAGTTCACACTGACTAAGGCTTGTAATTATGGTGACTAAGAAATGATTCACTTGAAGGTACAATTTTATTTGATATCAGTGAGCTTCCTTATAACAGGACTTCTTTTACCCTGCTGACCTAGTTGTGAGTCACAATTTCAAACATCAAAGAAGACAATCCTTTTGAAATTCTGACCCACTTCCTCCAAAATAATAATTTTTGTTCACCCAATATCAATGGATTACTTTATCGAATCAGCCCACAAGTAGTTGGAAATCTGAAGATCAGGGGACAAATGCTGGTGCGTGCTCAGGCATTGACATGGAGTAAATCTTTAAAAGTTATTTCTCCCAGCCTTGGCCCCAGAAGCTCCGCTAGGAGAACTGCAATAGGAAGAGGCAACCAGACTTTGCCTGATTTGTCACACTTAGTCACACACCATAGTATTGGGCACACACACTTCCACTACAAAAAGCTTTTTCCTTGAGTTAGTTACTCACACATTTGTGTCTTTGTATCTTCCTGAGAGCAGGATTCTGCATGATGAAGGCAATGATCCTAACTTTTCTGCTTCTCGTTATTTCTACTAAACTTGTTTAAAATTTGCATCTTTGTGAAAGCTAACTGAAGATACAGTGTGGAAGGAAAAATGAGACACATGTTTGAGGACCAAGGACCCTTGATGGTAGTGACTTTAGCAAGAGATGCCCATTGCTGTTACTGTCATTAATCAGGTTTATGAAACTGAAGGGAACATTGTAGGGAAAATATCTGCAAGACAAGATAGGACCATACTTGATACTGGAGTGAAAGGAGCAAGTGGAATTGACACCTTTGGGGAAGAAAAGACAGTCCTTTCCCAAAGGACCTGGGTCACTTTGGTGTTTGTTCCACTCTAATCTTTAAGATTTATTCTCCCTATACTGCTAACTAGGATTTGATAGAGCCACATCGCAGTTTTTAATCTTAGCTTGTGTAAGGGCATGTATATGTACAGTGAAATGTGTATTCTTTTGGTTTTTTTAATAGCAGAAAATGAATTCACAAAGCATAAGCATGTTCTTGGATGATATGGATCATGTGAACTAACCGACATAACTCCGTTATGAGAAATGTCTCTTTTTTCCATTTGTTACGGGGAAAAAATGTAAACACTAGTGCTTGAGTGTGTGCTGTGTTATAAGGTGTTGTCTTTGTATAGACTAAGTACTTGTTTGTATGCATCCATCAACTGTGAATGATAATGACTGGACAAATAGGTTGATCATCCTATTCGCAGACTGAATTGTGTTTTACGACAATGAATTCATTGGCATGATCAATGGGAATTGATAAACCCAGGTAGGAAGGTATTTCCATCCTTCCAGCCTACAGATATAAGTGGTTGAAATAACTGACCCAGTCTCAGCCTCATAATGTCAGTTCTCATTTCGATTTGAGTAGGAATTAATATATATTTCAAACGTGTTTATTCCAGCCTGAAGGGATGGGAAGGAATGGGTGGGTGCTGAGGAGCTGAGACTGAAGTAAGGAATCGATTTTCTTTTGAAAGTGTCCCGAATATAATCTACTGTGCTTTATTGTGAATATTGTAATATTTTAAAACTGTCATTTTTTCCATAGCTCTTTGGAATCTGGTGGTGAAGAAGCCAGTGGTATCTCTTCAGTAGTATAGCATAGTGAGTTATTATAACCCACACCTGGGTGAGACTGTCTCACCTGCAAATGACACAACCTCAAAAGAAACAAAACAACAAAAAAAAACCACTCCAGGGAGGTTTCCTCGTAGTGCCCTCCTATTTAAATACACGCTTGGGGCTGGGAGCATCCTTTGTATTCTATACAAAATCTAGCTGACCGTGGGTATTCATATGTGAGTTACCGGGTGGCGTATATGTTCTTGGTAACTAAACTCAAATTCCTCTTCTGTGTCAGTGGTGCTGACAGTTTCCATGAATTGCAACATTTTCCTAATGCTTCTCTGAGCCACTACAAGCGTCAGTTTGGGAGAGGCAACGGAAGTCATGCCTGTGACCTGAATGTGCTTCACCCCCTTTTCTTCTGCTGCTTTTTGTCCCATCCCAATCTTTTTGGCTTCTTAGAGGTGAGGGGGAAGAGACTTCTGAGTCCCCCACCCCCATCTTTCCATGCATGTACCCTCCAGCTGGGAAAAAGGCTACACCTGCTCTGTCTTCTCTTTCTGCCGATTGCTGCCCCTTTGGTATGCTGAACCTCGTGTGGAAGTCCCGCAGCAGAGGTTCTTGCTGATGGTTTTTGCATGCCTTCTGCTCCCAAGTCCTTGGTTGCTTCTGCACATACCCCAAGCAGTCTGTGCCTGTTTCCTGTGGTTGTGGAGAGCGGATGAACACGTGAGTCTATACAGCAGTTTTCCCTATGGTATTGGTCACAGTTATCCTAGTGTCTAACTATATCTGTATTATTCTAACAATATTCTCTGATTAAAAGTATTATTTTAAAATCAGCTGAATTCTTTTAGTAGTCCAGCACCAATTACATGAAGGCTTCTCATCAGATTCTTTACTTTTGGGCTCAAAAGTCTTTACACTGATTTTTACGCAGATGTACAGATACTGTACATGGCCTTGTGGGAATTTGGGAGGCACTGTGTCTTGAGCCTTTGGAGGTTGCCATATCCTGAGAAGATGCAAAAATATGAACAGTTTTCCATGAAGGTTATGTGGCAAAAGCAACATGGAAACTTTTGGTATGAGTGACTCATTAACTTTGGAGGAAACAGAAAAACATCCAAAAAGAAAAGAGAGAAGGCCCTGTTGGCTCTTTTGGGGGTGGGGATGGTACTAGAAATTGAACTTGTGCTAAGCAAGTGCTGTACCACTAAGGTGCACCCCGACACTTTATCCCTTACTTTGAAACTGCATCTTGCTGGGTTGCTCAGGCTGATCTCAAACTTCGCATCCTCCTGCCTGTCTTCCCAAGTAACTGGGATTGCAGGTGTGTACCACTATGTCCCCTCTACCCCATTGCTTTGAGGAGCTATTTTGTGGTATGCATTAAGAGTATTAAAATAGGAGGATTTAGCTCAGGGGCATAAGCACCTGCCTTGCAAGCAGGCAGTTGTGAGTTCAATCCCTGTACCGATAAAAAGGAAAAAGACAAAAAAAAAAAGAGTATTAAAATAATTTTTTACTGATCTATGATTGAGTTCCCAGAAGGAAAGTATCTCTGATTATATATTACTAAAATGTGGCTGTAACTTTTGAGATTACCTACAAGTAATTTTCTCTTATGATTTGATTTTTTTTTTTTTTTTTTTTTTTTTTGTATCAGGGATCAAACTCATGACCTTGCATTTGCCAGGCAGGTACTTGTACCACTGAGCTAAATCCCCAGCCCCTTTCTTTTCTATTTGGGTTTGAACCCAAATGCTGTACCACTGAGCTATACCTCCAGCCCAGAAATCTTTTTTTTTTTTTTTTAAATCAGTACTGGGGATCCAACTCATGATCACGCTCTTGCAAGGCAGGTTCTTATACCGCTGAGCTATATCCCCAGCCCTATTTTTTATTTTTTAAATGGACATTCGGCTTAGGTAAAGAATGGAAGAGCTTTAATCTTTATATTGGGGAAAAATACAAATATGAAAGAAAACTTAACCCTGTAGCCAAATCTTGGAAAAAAAAGAGATTTTTACAAAAATAATTTTAGAGGTCGGGGATTTAGCTCAGCGGCATAAGCGCCTGCCTTGCAAGCAGGCAGTAGTGAGTTCGATCCCCGGTACCAATAAAAAGGAAAAAGACAAATAATAATAATTTTAAAACTGATCCCACTGGGTGCCATGCTGCAGACCTGTACCTCCAGCTACTTAGGAGGTTGAGCTGGAGGATTGCCCCAACTGAACAGTCTGGTCTGCCTGGGCAGCGCAGTGGGGCCTCTTCTCTTAAAAAGGCTGGGATTGTAGCTCAACAATTCAGTGTTTACTTAGCCTTGAGTTCAATCTCCATCATCAAAAACAAACCCCTCTTTTTCTCCTTTCTGTGCCTTCAGCACTTTATTATTGCTGGGAAAGAAAGTTAAAGGAAAATGCTAATTCATCCAAAGTAGTTTAGGGGACTCCCCTCGAGGGTATTTGGTATGTTAATATTTCACCATTGTTATTATTATCAAATTTCCTTCTGAGTAAACTGTCCTCTGGGAGAATAGCAAAGGTTAGGGCAGTATTTCCAGGCCATTAGGCCCCCTCAGAGGACACTAAAGTGATAACTTGTTAAGTGGCTCCTTAGTATTTTAAAAGTTAGAATGGCTACAAAAGGATTTTCACTCCCTGATGGAAAGTGGATTCTTAAGAAGCATTTATTAGACACCTAACTCTGCACCAGAGTAGCAGGCTTCGGGCTGCTTACCTGTGTATAGGAGGCTTAAAGATGAGAAACACTACTGAGCTGAGGGTGGTGGCACATGCCTGTAACTCCAGCTCTTGGGAGGCTGAGGCAAGAGGATCTCAAATTGGAGGCTAGCCTGGGCCACCCAGAGAGGCCCTGTCTCCAAACAAACTGTTGACATCCTAAGAGAACCATGATGGTATGGGCCTGTAATCTCCGCACTCTGTAAATTTGAGACAAGAGGATTAAAAGTTCAAACCCAGCCTGGGGCAATTTAGCAAAACCCTGTCTCAAAAAATAAGAAAAGACCAGGAAAAGAAAAAAAAATTGAAAGAAAAATAATCCTCTAATGAAATAAAAGTTTTGAGGGAAATCATATTGTTTTTCTAAATGCTTTTTTTTTAAAGTTTAATCGTTTTCAGTTTATCCAAAGATGATGGTGTTGCTTTTTTTCTCCTGGCAGAAGAAATTCAGATGGCAGCGAAGTCACTTTCCATTTTAGCAACCCTTGTAGGTGCCTTCTGAATGGGTTCCAGGTGGGGATTATTGAGGCATCTCCAACTCCAACCCCACACTCAACTTGCTCCTTTCACCCACCACTCACACCTGCTTTTCCTGTTTTCCTACCTCAGTCATTGCTTAGTTACCCAAGACAGACTTGCACATCATGCTTAACACCTGTTCCTTTAGCCACCTCCTCAAATCAGTAATGAATATCAATCGTGTCATTAGTTCTGTGGTCCTATGCATACCATTTCCTAAACATTTCAAAATCTCTTATCTCTTGATTTGGGCAATTAAGTTTTCCTGTTTCTTGGATTCCCCATCCATAAATAAGAAATTATATCTTTCTCATCTAGATGCAAAGATTGAAATAACAGCTCAATATTAGCAATTATTTAGATAGTGACTGGAGCATATTTTGCTTACTGAAATGACCTCCTACTGGAGGTCATTTTAATCCCCTTCAGTCTCCTCTGGTTGTAGCTCTGAAAATCCAAGGCAAATCCCTTTATGCTACTCTTCTATGAAAAACCCTCCCTATTCCCTAAATTCCATGACCAGTGCCAGCGTTGGGATTGTAGCACTGTGGGGAAAGCACTTGCTTAGTATACGTGAGACTCTGGTTCAATCACAAAAATAAATAATCAAGTAGATTTTAACAACAAATTCACACTTTCCATTGCACACAGCAGACAGTGGGTGTGGAACTTGTGAGGAGGTCACCCTGAGCCAGCTCCCCATCTCCAGTTCGCCCCACTTTCCAGGTATTTACAACACTCCAGCGCCTTCCTCCTCCCCTCTCCTGGCCAGCTCCTCTTCACCCCTCAGATCTTCAACCTGAGTTGTTTCCCCAAATCCAACCTGGTGCTATAAGACTAGATCAGATATCCCTTTTGTGTTTTTCGTCATCTTTAATCCCAATCAAAGTACTTTATCCTTGTTTTGTAATTGATTTAGTTTTTTGTCTCCTCCATTAAACTTTGGCATTTATTTATTATTTCTTTGAGACAGGCTCTCTCTTTGTAATTCATGCTGGTTTTGAACTCACTATGTAGCCCAGATTGACCTTGAACTCATGGCAATCTGTCTGCCTCAGCCTCCTGAGTGTTGGGATTACAGGTGTGCATCACCATGCTCAGCTAAATTTTGATATCTTTGTAGTCACCATGTCTTGCTCACCATTGTACCCCTAATGAATGTTTGGTCTGTAGCAGACAGACAAAAATATTTCTTAAATTGGGCCTGAGATTTAGCTCAGCGGCATAAGTGCCTGCTTCCCAAGCGTGAGGTCGTGAGTTCAATCCCCAGTACTGAAAAAAAAAATTTTTTTTTCTTGAATAGATATGAGGAGAATATTATACACTTCATTTTCTTTCAGTGAAGCTGGGGATGTTATTTCTGACTGATAGTCACACCAACCTACTCATTAAAAACTGATAGAATAAATAAATACCGATAGAAATTTTCCCATGGGTGCATCTGGTAGAGACTTATGTAAGAGGAAGAAGATGCATGCAGAGCTGATATGACCCATCTAAAATCCCCCCCGCCCCGCCGCCACCCAGGTAAAGCTAAGGTGAAGGCACACTGATCTCTGACTACTCCTGTACTTAATGATCCATCATTGTCGTCTTTAGACCCCTGTCTAGGAATAGGGTCTACCTATGGCAACTTGGCACCAATTGGAGGAGCTTGTGCAGGACTGTTTGCTTTCGTTTGGCCTTTGGCCAGTCTTTGAATTCTCTAAGGTAAGTATATAAATCAATGACTGTCAATATTTGGGAAGGCCCAGATTGCACTGGCTGGCTTGCTGGTGCTGTCTCTCCCTTCCTCCCTCCCTCTTCAGTGCTGGGGATGGAAACATCAGTGAAGTCCAGAAAGCCTGCTGCTTTCCTCCCTTGCCTAGATTGAAGTTTCATGCCCCAACAGCTACAAATGTGGAGGTTCAGAAAAGGAAACCTTGGGTAAAACCCTATCAGAATACTGGGCATCATCAAAATGTAGAATTTTGGTTCTTTGGAAGATACTTTTAAAAGAAGAAAAAGATAGCGAGGGATGGTGGTATACACCTATAATCCTAGCATTCTGGGAGGCTTGGGCAGGAAGAGCAGAAGTTTGATTCCAGGCTGGGCAATTTAGTGAGACTGTCTGAAAAACTGAAAGGTTGGGGGCTGGGGATTTAGCTCAGCGGCATAAGCACCTGCCTTGCAAGCAGGCAGTCGGGAGTTCGATCCCCAGTACAAAACTGAAAGGTTGGAAGGGTGGGGTGGAGATGTAACTAAGTGCAAAGGCCTTAGGTTCCATGTACACGTTTGCAGTGCATAATGACTGCATTCATCATGGGGAGCTGGTACGTATCTGTGGCATATCTTAATTCTGTTTTCATCCCCTTCCACTCCCTTCCAAAATGCGGGTTTCTCAGGTGAGTTGTTGGATAGATGAATATACTATTTGTGGAACCAAAATACACACAGAAGAGTGTGGGATGGTGCAAGGCTCTGAGTTAATTAAGGTATTTAGCAAAAGTTTGTGGAGTACCAAATTATATGCTTGGCATAAGGCTGAATGAGACAAAGATTCTGCCTTTGGCTAGCTTATATTCTGACAGGGCAATAAA